GCTGCCCACCCCTCCCCGGGGGGACGGTGGCTGGCCCACCCAGAGCTGCCATGCCTGTGCTGTGAGGAGGCTGGGCAGCACAGTTGACACATGGCAGAGCTGGGAAGGGTGGTCTCCAGGGGGCTCCTGCCACATGCGGCCAGTAGCGTGCGGGCTCTTTAAGCGCTCAGGTAACGCGTAAGTCCGCAGCTTCTACGGGGTCTCCCGCCGTCCAAACCGCTTTTTTACGTTTCTTCTGCTTTTCCAGAAAAGCTGTCTACACTGGCCCTTTTCCGGAAAAGCTTTTCCAGAAAAAAGACTTATGCCCGAGCGGGAGCAGAGTACAGTTTCCGGAATAGCGGCTGATTTTGTACAGTACAGTGTCAATGCTTTTCCGGAAATTCAAGCAGCCAGTGTAGACAGCTCGCAGCTTATTCCGGAAAAGCAGCTGCTTTTCCGGAATAAGTGGCCCAGTGTAGACACACCTTTAAGGTATTAGTTTTCTGAACTCTTTTAATCTTTGGCCAGTGTATGGAAAGGGGAAAGCTTTCTAGTCCAGCTATGGGCCCTATAATAGCAGCTAGCTATGTGAGTTCCCAACACCTATACAAGACAACACCAACATCCCAGGATACTTTCCCCCTCACCTTTTTTTCCCTCTGATTCCTCCTCCTAGGGTCCACTTGCTGTGCCTTTGCCTTTGCCTTTGCCTTCTCCCAGCACTTTCCTCTACCCACTCAAGTACACAGACCCACCACCACCTGCAGCCAAAATCCTTTTATAGCCAGTTTCAACTGTTTTCCCTAATTAATCTCAGGTGTCCTAATCAGCCCAGACTTGCCTGACTCCATAGGCCTGCTCAATAGATCCCAGGTGTTCAACTGCCCCTGACTGTTTCTGCTGGTTCTAAACCAGCCCCTTCTGATTATCCTGGGAACAGAGATCTCTTCAGTCTGAGGCTTATATACAATTTCTCCACTACTTTTTTGTAACCTTTGGATCTGACCAGGTCACAGAGGATATAAATGAGATGGTTCCTGTCCATCTGGTTACAATGGCTCTGTCAGAGGCCATGGTTCAGAACATGCAGATGCAGAATTTACAGATTCAAAAGACCATGATAGCAATTGATAAGGCTGAACTACAGAAGATCATGGCACAGTTCAATGCCAAAGGAAACTGAAGAGAGCATCAAGTGGAATTGAAAATCATGATCCACGCTCAGGCTCCCTACTATTATTTTCCAAAGACAAAG